TAGATCCAGATTCAATAAAACTTGAATTAAATTCAATTGACATTTTAAAATGATAATTTTGCAAGAATAGAATTTTTTAAATATTTATTGTGTAACGGGGATGTAAAATATTTTTTTGTCGACGGATCATCAATTAATTATTTTAATTAGTGATCGGCGGGGGAAAAATGTCACGAAAACGACCAATCGAGCATCTTTGCATAAAAAGTTGTACTATACTTTTGTTTCACCACATAAAAATTTTTTTCATGCGCACATGGGAAAAATCTCAAAGATTATAGAAGTATAATTTTTTTTCTTGTTTTCATAGACAAAAAGAAGAGTTTACTATTTGGCCGCCGTGGATTAAAGGTTTCACCTCTACAGCATATCGATATGATTTAATTGAGATCGTCCGGTCCGAAATAAACAAATCTGAGATGTGCAAACCCGAGGTATATGAATGTAATACCAATTCAAGTTTGGTTATAATGTTTTTTTTGAGCGATACGAAATAAGTAGAAAATGGTATGAACTTGGTTATACATTCTCATAATGAATATATAATAAAATATAAATACGGGTTGAACTCTGGTTGAAAATGGTAGAATGGACAGATGCGCATATAGCTACTCTAATCGAAGAACGAAAAAATAGAAATATAGAGTACCATAACCTCGGAAGAAATCGAAACGTATTTTGACGTAGTATTGCAGATAAAATCAATCAAGAACATAATACTAATTTTACTGGTTATCATTGTAAAAAAAATTTTCGAATCTTATTCGGAGTTATAATGTAAGTTCGCACGATAAAGCATTATTTTTTTATCTAGCTCGCTATTTAATCCCCCAATTATTACTTTGTAATGGGACTTTTCCCTAGGCAATGTGTGAATATATGTCGGGTAGACGTGGAGCACGGAGAAATCGATTGGGTGCGCAATACTTTGATGAGTTTCGTACGCATTTCTGGGAGAGGCCTGAAGATGAATTCGATAGAATCCGTACTATCAATACCTCAAACCGTAGACGAAATAGAAATATGAGAAATATAACACCAGCACCATCTATTGAGGAAGTTTCATCAATGCTAAATAGGAGTCGCCGTGAATCTCCCACTGGTCAAAGAGATCGATCCTGACGAATGTATTTCTATATTAGTGAATCTGTGTCAAGATTTAAAGATATTTCATCTTGAAGGGTGTGATATTACAGATAGAACTATTTATGAAATAGCAAATTCATGCCATAATCTTCGGGAACTTTATTTTGATGATTGTTTGAGTATCACCAAAATTGCAAGAAAGAACTTTAAAAAACAAAAGCCAAATATCAGAACCTGTATATATGATCTAGGTGCTCATCTTAGTTGTGAATAAAGGTAAACTCTAAATACTTATCCAGTTCGATTAATATTTTTTTAGATATAATAATTAGTGTCTTAGCTTGATCAAGATGAAAATAGAAAAACTTGAACCGGTTGAGAGGTTTGCATATCATATTGACGAATACAAGAATCCAGAAAAATATGACTCGAAAAACTCGATTCCTCAATGACCCTTCACATGCTTAATCTCTGGTCGAACCAATTCAGGGAAAACTACAGAAGTTGTTGATCTTTTGCTTGGAAATAAACTCTATCGGATGTTTAATGGAAAAAGGGGAGGAAGCAGAGACATTAAATGTGATGATGTCGTGCTTATTGGACACCATCTTAAGGAACCCAAATATATGTACCTTAAATCGGCATATCAAATAATCGCAAATAGTCCAGAGCCACATTGTGAAGATATTACATTTCGGGCTATGAAGCCTGATAAAATTCCAAAACTAGATTCATTCTCACCAGAAAGAGGTACAGTGGTTATATTCGAGGATGTATGCACTGAACCAAAAAAAAATCAAGAAAAAATTTTACCTTATTTTACCGAAGGACGTCATTCTAATGTTTCTTCGATATATATATCACAGAGCTATTTTGACTGCCCGAAACTAATAAGAAAAAATTTAAAATATGTTGTATTATTCAATGGCTCTTGTACTTCAGATGAACTAAGCAGAATACTTCGTTTATATGTTAATGACTGGCGTAGTATCTATAAACTTGTTAATAAGCATCTATGTGAACAGAAATTTATTGTTTTCGATTTAAGTTTACCTCCTGAGCACCCACATAGAGTACGTGTCAGCTGGGATATGCCAATTAGTCAACTTGATGAATAGGTAGAGCACGACTTCAGATATGCAAAGCATTTTTCTGCCTCTTGTAATTGTATCTTTTGTTGCTCAATTTCATATCGCAATTTTTTATTTTTATTAACCCGCTCTTCATACTCTATAGTAATTTCTTGCATAAATTTACCAAAAGTTTTTTCATTATATTCCAGTAATCGCTGAAATAAAACATCGACCTCTTTCTTAACCTGGTGATTGATTTCTTTCTCACTTGCAAAGCAAGGGCGATTATGTGTCTGATCGCATCTACAAATCAGGGCAATAATATCTCGAGTTTGGGATTCTTGATTAACCATGTTTACATCATATAATGAATTTTTCAATAAAGGCCAGCTTTTACGTTGGCTTTTTAATTTTTTCTGATATTTATTAACTTCATGTCTTAAAAATAACTCAACTATAGGATTTATAGTACTTGCTTCTTCTTCATTCATTGGATTCCTCTTCCGAGAAATTAAACGAGTCCAAGCTTCATTAACTAAGGAGGGCGGTAATTTATTGATTAAACCTGAATATGCTTTATTAAATTTCATAATATATAGTATCGAGAAACTAATATTGTATTTTACAGCGCAGAAAAAAAATGGAATCTTTCATGAAAATTATGAAATATATTTCTGAAAAAAAAAATGTTACCAGCCCTCAGGGATAACGAAATAAAGTCTAAAGTACTATATAGTAAACTTTAAGAACTACTCTAAATTTGATCATCCATCATCATTAAGTCCTGGAAAATAACTTGCAAGAGAGTTGAAGTAATTACCTTCTTTATATTGTATGCTATATATAAAAAAACCTTTTTAAAATATACTATAATGTAAGTGAACATTTTACATACAGTATATAAATAACGATTTAATAATAAGGCATATGTTTGGCTATTCAGTTATTTCTTGATATTACAGTAATGTCTAGGACTTTTTTTTTCCTTAAAAAATAAAAGCACAATTCTGACATATACATACAGTGTCAGTATATATATAGGTCACAGAAAACTTAAACTTTCACTCCTAATAATACCTACCAAAACCCACTTGATCGACTTGTTCGAATTTTACCAAAGCAAAAGAAAAAAATAAAGCAATATATCAATGCAAAAAAAAATATATGTTTCGTAAATTTGTCACGTTTGATAAAACAATCGATCTTATTCTGTATTCTATGTTAAAGTTGAGATTTATTATCACCCAATACCCACATTAAAATATTCAGGAACAATCTCTTTATTCCTTTATTTACTTTGTTTAAAGCGCTTTGATAAAAGTGACAATTGTAATTAGTGCCACGGTAAAAGGTAACAATCATGGAGCTTTGGTAAAAAGCCATGTTTACTTGTTTTAGTGAGCAAGCAAAGGTTTGGATTAACTAGTGGTGTTAATGAAGTAATGTCCAAAGGTTAACCGGAAATACTGGTGGTATTATTGTAATTGTAAATGTAAGGCTATTAAGCAAGCTACTCAAGCTGTTTTATAAATAAACTAAAGCAAGTTTGCAATCGGTTGGCAATAAATTGATCACAGGTGAATAAAAGGAACTTTATAGAAGCTTCTGGATTTTGTAAAAGGGCATCTTTATTTATTTACAGTTATCTGATACCATTAAATGTGCTCAGGATTCATCTAGGTGCAGGAAAGAGGCAGTAATCAAGAACCAAAGTAAATTTGTACACTAGTTAATCGACAAGCACCAAATTATTTGAGTTATCTGCAACCAACCAACAAGAGCAGCCCAAAAGTTAAGCCATACATATGTAAACTCGATAAGCCAAAATTTTCATCCCTTTTTCTTAATATTGAAGCAATTTAATTCGATAAGTCGGTTTACTTGATAAGTTGGTCATATGAGCTCACCCCAACATGATTGACTTGTCGAGTTTACATATGTAATTAACCAAAATGATACTAACAAGAATCAAACAAAACTGTGAAAAGTTTATTATTTCAAAATAATAAGGATAAATAAAAAGCTAAATAAAAAAATTTATAGAGATTAAATTAGTCATTCATCAATTCTTTCTTCTGCTATTGGTACTAGAATCTAATGTTTATTAATTAATTAATTAATATTGTTAGTAATGGATAGTAATTTTCGATTAATAATTACAATCAAGATTATTTAACAAACTATTACTTGTATAACTTTTAGATTTAGCAATCTCTTCATCTAATATTCTGCTTGTATGATATGCATCTGGATGTGATTTGTATGCTCGTTGTGAATCACTACCACTACCACTAGTAGTATTATTACTATTATATTTATAAATTTTGTTATGTTTATTTCTAGCAAAAACATAAAGCTCTTTACAAGTTGGTCTTTTTGATGGATCCACATCCCAGCACCTCTGCATCATTTGCGCATAATCTTCAGGCATTTTAGGTAATATTGGTGGTCGTAAACCTTTTTCACATATATTAAAAATCAAATGATGATTATGAGCTCTATCATCAAATGGTGGATGACCTGCAAAGATTTCCCACATTAACATTCCAACACTATAGATATCTGTTTCTTTTGTGTTATTTTTGCCTCTAAGTAGATCGGGTGCAACATATGGTACAATTCCATAGACTTTATTTGATGACTTTTCATCAACTGGTCCACATGATCTCAAATCTGTAATATAACAACCACCTCCTTCCACAAGTATATTACCACTATGTAAATCACAATGGATTAAATCTTTTTCATGTATATCATCTAATGCATCACATAAATAATCAAAGATTGTAATTCTGTTTTTTAATGTTAAATTTAAATGATTTTTTTGCAAATAATTTCTTAAATTTCCTTCTTTCAAATAATTTAAAACCATTGCATAATTTCCATTGTCTGGGAATTTAGTCATACCATAGCAATTAACAATCAACCCTGATTTAATTTTACAATAATTCACTGCCTAAAATAAATATAAAATCAATTAGTATTATATAATACAATATTGTTTATTTTGTTTTAAATAAAAACCACCAACCTCATCAAAAAAGCCTTTTCCTAGATTACTTGAATCATTTAAACTTTTTAATACTACACTTTGCCCTCCTCCTAAATAACTAAATTCCTTTTTATTTTCATCATAATCAATTATCCTTCCTCTTGTCCATGTAGCTGTATAAATTGAACTAAATCCACCTTCAGTTAATTTTGTTATATTTTCAAATTGCTCAAAAGATATCCATTCTAAAATATTGTCTGGCAGAGATGATTTCATTTGGCATTGTTGAATAAAGTTATCAATTATGCTATTTCCAGATGTCCAAGTGGTGAAGAGACTCTGTAATTGTAAACTAATACAACCTTCACAGAACATATCAGAGTATCTTGTCAGTTTACACTTGTCACATTCTTTTGGTTTTCCCCCTTTATTTTTTGCATTATATAATTCAGAATCATAAATAAACCTTTTTTTACAATATTCTTTTTCAATTTCAGAAAGCTCCTTGTTTTTTTGGACTAATGAAAAAAAATAATCCTTTCTATTTTCTATATCAGAATTAACCCAAGCATTATCATGCATTTCATTATAAATTTTAAAAACAAAACCCTCTCTTTCTGGTGATAATAATTTGTGATATGACATTATATAAAATAAATGGTTTTATTTGGGTGTTTTAATGAATAGTAATAGTGGAGAGAATAATTCTTTTTTTTTTGCGGAGTGTGTAACAAACAATTTTCATTTTTTAACTTTTTGTTATAGAGGTTTTTGACAGCCTTATTGATAAAGGATTAAATATATATAAATCTTGAAAATTGAAATTCTAGTGATTTGATTCAGCAATAAAAGAACCCCAGTTTACTATTTTCATCAACTTCAAATTAATACCTACAACTAAACCTGTCTCATGTACTATGTAAAAATCATTCTACGTACCAATATTGGCCAGTCTATGTGTGTTTCAAACCCAGACACTCAAGTATGATTTATTTTATATTATATACTATTACATGTAGTTGGTTAACTTAATCAATTAATTTAACACAACTAACTCTACATATTAATATTGATATGCCCATATGTGTTTCAAACTCGGACACTAAAGACAATTCAAACATACGAAAATTTTTTTTAGTTTCAATAGTCACCAAACAACCATGATAATTTTTTTAAAAAAACCATAATAAAAAATATACAAGTTGAACAGCGTGGTTTCTAAAAACAAAGTGCTGTATAAGAATGCTTAATAACATTTTATTGACGATTTAAGGATTAATGATTATATTACAAAGTTTTATTTCATTAGAATTGTATTTTCCCCCGTTCCTTCAAGCAAGGACCCGAAGTTGTTCAAACTGTTGAATTTCTACAAAATTTTCGTTTCAACATGTTTTTATTTTTTCCGTTTAAAGCACTTTTTTGAAAGTAACATTGGTAAAATGGCAACAATTGTGGAGCTTTTGCAAAGGCCATGTTTTATTTACTTTGGTGGGTATGCGAAGGTTGTGAATAACATTGGTCAACTAGTGAGTGTTAGCAATGGGTTAGTGAAGTATTGTCTGGATATAAATAAATTCTATAGAAAATTCAAATTTTATATAAATAGAAAATTCTGATGTGAGTCAGTCAGTAGCTATCATGAATGAGAAAATAAATTTATTGTTCCTTGCATTTAAATTTTGTAAAAGTATGAACACTTGGCAGTGAGGTTCCTGAATATTTATTTGCGAAAGATTTTTGTACAAAGGAATGAGTGACTATATATAATCGATAAAAGATTATATAGTGAAAATAATGTAATGATTGGTAGCAAAAATTTATTTCATATTACTATAATGTGTAATTATATACATTAAAATGCAAAATCTATTATATTTCCAGTATAACATTCAAATTAACCAAGAATCTTTACCCCTACCGCCACCTCCAATAATAGATTCTCTCCGTTTGCCTCGATTTAATGTATGTTGATCTCCCACAGTTCCAATATTAGATAATACATAAGTGCCGGTATTCAAACCTGCCCACCCGAACGTTGCAATCGACGCACCAACAAATGCCACAATTATCAATACTATTGCTACTGGTACAAAAACCACCAACCCCAAAAATGTAAAAAATCCATTTGCGCAAAGAATCCCTACACCAGCTAGAGCGAAAACAAATCCCAGCGTTAGGATAAACCATCCAACAAATATCATCAATGGAATCGAATTAAATGTTAGCAATGCATAAATTAACCATCTCGCTGGTGGAAAATTTCCCCATAAATATTTGATTGCTTCATAAATTGGATCACCAATTGGTCTAATATAATCCCTGACCATTTTAAAATAATCTTCGTTATGTGTCAGAATTTGTTCCGTTTGCTTAATACTTTGTCCCACACGATATGCTATATCTCTTGTTCTATCCATCATTATTAACAAAGTGGTTTTTTTGGAAATTATTTATTTCACGCAAGAATGAAAAAAATCAATTTGATTTATTTATCTGTCTTTTTAAATATTATTAATCATCACTATTATTGGGTAATCATTACATAAAAACATAAAATATGATGATAATGATGTCATCAATTTTTATTGGCTTACTAAAAAATAATATCTCAAACTCGTGAAAAGTTAATGATGCCCATTTTCTTCTTTCTTTATCAGAAGCTCAAAATTCTTCAATTGTTGATTTACCTCTTTTTTCACCCGAATTATATGATTAACATAAATGTTAATATAAGAAAAACTCATCGGGTCTATTATACAGGTGCTGCTCCCAGACAATACTCGATAAGCCGAACCATTATAAACCGGTAACGATGCAAAATTGGTTGACTAATAAAATTACTCTGTTAACCCGAATTTCAATATAATTAGATGTAAACCGAATTTCGTCCTATTATTATAATGATAAAATTCGGTTTATAATTACCTTAACAGTAAATAACTATACACGAATAGTAATACTAACACCAATTGTAACCTGAATTTTGATAAACCGATCCTATTTTTGTATTTTCTAAAAGTTCGGCTTATCGAGTTTTGAGTGTAGATACGAAAAGTCAAAGCTTCGTTCAAAAAAAAAACTGCAACACAATTTGGTCATCGATCTTAAATGATATTTTGCATTACTATAAACTTCGCCACCATATATCAGACAGGATTTGATAATTATAAGTTTGTCTGTTATATTATTTTATGCATACAGATATTAAATTATCATTTATGTTAAATAATAATTTTCTTCTGTGAAATTCCTGGAATTATAATTAGTTGAGAAAATATTTGGATCGCTAGGTAAATCTTTTGAATAATTATTCTAGAATCAAGAATTTCTACCATTGTTGATTTAGTTGATTGTTCTGGTGATGGAGGTATTAGTTCTGTGGCGGCGATGTCTGTAATTATTTCAGAAATAGTGCCCGGCATATTCAGTTATGTTAGTGGTGATATAATGGGGTTTCTTTGAATTTCAAAGAGTGGAATAAATTATGGTTGATTTAATATTCGTTTCCAAGTCGATAATATTTTGCATTTTTGCGAAAAATTGCATTATATTTACATCAATGATGAATTAGGTTAATTAATTCGATTTGATTACATATCTTATATTCTTATTATTTTTGCCTGAAAAATGCAAACAGACTCGAAATCTATGACAACAATTACGTGGAAGAACTTTTGAATCATTAAAACTTGCACGTTTACATTCTACTACACGTCGAACACCTGCTCCAGCTACTTGGTCTTATAAACAAAAACAAAATAGTCCAATAAAACTAATTCTAAACCACATTCTTTAAAATCTTCAAAGTCTAAAAAGATTTTTTGGGCCCCTTCAACCCTTGATCCAATTTACCTAAAACTGGGATTTTAAGGTAATTAATACCAGTATAAAACACTTTTATTTTTTTTCATCATCGCCAAGAAAATTATATATATATATATATATATATATGATATATAGAGTGTGGACAGAGAAAAAGGCCGAATTTTTATAAAACATGTTTTTAGGTTTCTAAAATTTAATATTGCCATATGAAATATCTTATGATTTTATTATGCAAGTTTCTGGGCCTATAATGCATGTAATTATGACATTACCTCAAAATGTTCAGAAATCAAATTCAACCTTTTTGCTGTCCACGCCTCATATGATTTCTTGATGATGAATAAAAGTTGGAAAAACAGGGTCTGTTATATGTTTACACTCACCGAAAGTTCATAGATGTTTTAATAATTTTAGACCAACCAAATAATCAATCCATGTCGCAGGGAAAATAATCGCGTCTTTATTAATAAAGAAATTACATTTGAATCATTAATTATATTGTAAATCAAAAGAAGTTATAAAAATCAAACAAGAAGTACGGAAGGTAAAGTATGAGCCAAAAAAGGTGTGTCAAAATGATAATAGTTCTGGATCTTTGGATATGATTGAACACGGCGAAGAAATAAATCGTAAAAATTGTAACGAATTAAAAAATTTTGGCTCTGATGACAGTGAATAATGAAATTGGTTGGAATTATGTAGATGACGTGGAAGAGGAGGAGATTGAAATAAATGGAGAATTAAAATTGGAAAATGTTCAATTAGAAAAAACTAAGATTCGTTCATTTTTTTTTTTAAATATACGTTTAAGTTATTGTTTTTTTAAATGGAGATATTATAAATTTTAAACAAACCATTTGAGCTTTTTTGCTTTTGCATGTATTTGTAGGGCTCTGTAATGGACAAAACTCAGTTTTTACAATATTGTTAATAAATAAATTAAATAAATAATAATAAACGAGTTTGGGATTATTGGAATACGAATAGCTGGGGATGTTATGCATTTTAATATTATGATTAAAGATATGGATAATATCAATCGGCTTTATAATTTATATTCAATTAAAATTCCTGTACGTTCAACTGGTAGCGAAGATGTTTTCCGATTTATAGAGGCCCTTTTAAATTTGAGAAATATTTTAATTATCAACTTGACAATATTATATCATTCTCCCAAAACTAGATCTCTAAGGCTTAAAAAGTCGAGTTCAACAGTATCTTCTGAAGAAGATTAATCTTTATTTTTTTTTTTTTCATTCAATAAAGCTATATAGCTCTGGTGGCTGATTTCGTGTAAATAAATCATATTTACTTTTTTTCTGGGATTCAGAAAGGTTTCTAGGAAAAATTAGATGGGTGTGAATCAAATCTATTGTGTCAAGCCATTTTCTTTTCTATTTTGTTTATATTTTTTTTTTTTTTGAAGTAATGCTTAGCCGTGATTATAATAACTCATCAGCAATTCCTCACCAAGAAGATGATAAGTTATTATTATTATATGCGACGATTTTATTCTTTTCATTGTTTTAAATCATTAATTTAATTTTTTCTATATATTTTAGAAAGGGAAGATGCAAACCAGCCTGCAGTAAGATTTCTATCGTTTATACTTTCTTGACAACTTTCAATTTCACTCATCTCTACATCCCCAAGAGTAAACTCTTTTTTTTTCGATATTCTTGAAAAAATATGTTCTTTGACATTAGTTTCATAACGCAAAATAAAAAAAATCATTCAATTAGCAAAATTTGTGACATTTTTCCTCCGCAGATCCGATTCATAGACGGATCGTCAATTAATATTAATTATTTATCCTATTGGTTTTTTTTGTTGATTTTTTTTTTCCTTCCTTGGAAAAACAATCTTATTTTTCAATGACAAAACGCGAGTGTTGTTGGTATGATATGGTTTGGCTCTCGTCTGAAGACGTGTTAATAACCAACCAGAGGTATTTTTTTTATTTGTATTGATATAATGTGGTGTCTTTTATTTTATATAAATATTTTAATTGGAATCAAAACGCGGAGCAGATCCCGCTGGGTAATTATAAGGTCCGTATCAACAACAAATGATTGGTATTTTTCTTTTCGTAATCGTTATTGGAGCATTTTTAAAATTTTTCCTGTTTGTTAATTGTTAATTTTGAATTTTTAGAAATTCAAATATTTTATACTCCAACAACACTACAGTAACATCTTCTTGCTTTTTATATTTTATGGAGTAAACTACCAATCTGGAAGAATCGTCAAAGTTTCTTTTCTCAGAAACATATGGCCAAAAATCCTATTAACATAGTAACATCTCGGGAAATGTAGGTTAAAAGTATTTGTATTATTTACCATTTTCCTTTTTTTTATCATCTTGATAATGAATATTGTAAAATTTCATAGGGTTGTTATTATAAATTCGGGACGAAAATTTTAAAATTCCCGCAATTTACGAAAACTTTGAGTAAATGACAAATATATTAAGCAAGTTTACTTGGAATTAAATTTTAGGAAAGGTCAGCAGTGCTCTTGCTGAATTTCTCGTACTATCTATAACAGTTGATAGTATAGGAGGTGATCGTATTATACTAATACTAATACTAAGAAACTTGTTTCATGAATGATTCGTTAAATATTTCATAATTAATACCTTACTGACCTTTTGAGACTTTTTAATTAGAATATCATGTACAAATACACTTTAATAGAAGAAAAAAGGTTTTATTTCTTTTTACTTGAGAAAGAACTTTTACATTATTTTTATTATCACAAAAGTTTAGACCCGAATTTTACAATTTAATGATTTGTTTAAAGTTTTGTTCTAAGCGTACTAATAATATCACTGTAACTCAAGTTTATACAACCATATTTGCTCATTTCGTTATAAGTTGATGGTTTGAGTCCATATTTGTTTGCCAGATCTACGTGCAATTTTTCAAAGAACCAGCACATAAGATCATTAAATAAGTGTTGGTAGTGAGATTCAAATCTCCAATCCTTAAAATCTTGAGCTTTTACAACGCTCCAAGGTGTTGGGTCCTCCTTGCCAAAATACCACACACCCACATGATCTTCCAATTTATGACATGGCATTGCAACTAGTTCTTTCGAACCTCTATAACTGAACCTTGCAAGACCACCAGGTTGATGGCTAGTATGATGTCTTTTTGTTTCGCCACTGTCGTTATAATGTCCCTGAGATCCCCAACACAAAGCTCCACAAAAATAACATGCTTCTGTGCATCCAAGCAGTTCCATGATTGATTTATCTTTAGACGGATCTTGAAAAGGCTCATCTTTTGGATAACGACCACCCCCTTTAGTTTTAAGCTCTTCCTCGACAGCATGATAGAATATTCTAAAATCTTCATCTTTTGTGTCTCTAAGATCCAATTTGTAGTCCACTTTGTCAACTTGCGTCATGTAATTATTTATAAATTTTTTGATTGCCCCGAAACTTTGACAGTTACGAATTTCTTGAACGACTCGATTGAATTCTGAGTTAAAGGTATCATTGTATTTTTGCTTTGGATTTCCACTTGTATTACCATCAACTTTACATTTAAACCAATATTCTATGGATCCTTTTGGCCATGAAAAATGCTCTATAGCTTCTTTTTTGTCGCCTCTTTGAACCTGTTCAGCAAGATTCTCAAAATATTTAAGCCTAACCGATTCAGTACACGTCAACCAACCAATATTACGCACTGCAGTTTTTCGCTCAGCGCTTCCTGCATCCATTGCTTTTTTATGAATGACCCTCAGTAAATAATCCCCAGCAATATGTCCCTCAGAAACAAGTGTATGCCCATATTGAAGCCGGGTATCAATCATCTTTAAATATTCCTCTTTCTTTTGATCAAGGATGCCAAGTGGAGTATTATCCATTTCCCATTTTTTTTGAAAGCTTATCATTTTTGGTTTAAATTTCAACAAAGCATACAAGTAAGCATTCCATTTGAATTCTGGCAAAAATTTAACGCGAAGAAGATTTGCATTATCGTTAAGCGTTTTTTCTATCACTTTTGCAAGGTCGCGCACAATTCCAGGGTAATAATGATAAGATGCCCTTTTTTCCAAGATTGAATCTACCAAATTATTAAGCTTTTCCTGGAGAGTGCAGACGTCTCTTATATCCAAGCATGTTGGAATAAGGCCTCTATATGCTTTATATGCCTTGCATTTAGATAAATCTGGAGAGTCTCCATTCATGTATTGTTGATAGAATCCTACTGACGATAAATGAGAACACGCATCTTTGACCTCCTTATCTATTTGATCCACTATTGGCTTAATGTTGTATTTTGATAATATGTTATTTCGCAACAAACTCCATATTTCTTCAACTTCTTTTTTACGTTGATATTCAGTCAATCGTCTACCACTTGGCATATTCCTTAGAATCCCTTCTAAACGGTTGTTAATTATGTCAAGAGATTCGGATGAAATACCTTTTCGGATAAAGCTGGCATCGAGCATCTGAGTGAGTTTTATGGATGCAGAATGACGATTGAGTTTGATATAATCCTCAATTGTTTGTTTAGTTTCTATTTCACACATTTCATTATTCTTATCTTTGAGGTACTCTTCCAATTCAATCCTTTCCTTGTTTATTCTTTCACATTCTTCACAGCCGGCATCATTGCAATCTGGTATTTTCTGTAGTCCTTTTTCAATCAATTCTAAGCACTGGTGACGTAAATTCATATTTGATCTGTCATTAGGAGACCAACTTTGAAGCTTGGTACGAACTTTTTGCATAATTGATTCCTCGTGTTTTAGGAATGCTTTGTCGATGGTTTCCTTCAACTTTGTGATTCGTTTGCCAAGATCAATAAATTCATAAATTTCTCTGATGTTTTTGAAACGAACTGCAAAGTCCTCATGAGATACCGCGTTCCAATAATCTTGAATTAGCGAATGCCATTTCGAAAATTCAATTTTGCTCTGCGAATTCTTACAATCATTAATTATGGAGTTGTATAAATTGACAACATCCTCATGGTATTGCTCTGATGGTGGGGCATAGGCAGTTGCACCATTTTTAAATGGCCGAAATTGTTTAAGAAGCTGGCCTTTTTTTATCCTTTCATCAAGTATTTGAAGACAGTCTGTATTGGATATTCCCATCTCAATGTCTTGTTCTTTAGCTATTTTCAAAGCCTCTTGAAGAGCCGCCCGAAATTTTTCTTCTGGCTCTGACAGTCTTGCTGCATTTCGTTCAGAAACATGCTGCACCATCATAATGTCAGGGGCTATTCCAGCTTCTTCAAGACGTGCCATTGTTACAATTGCTATCTGCAAAATCTCAGTCAAGTCACGTGTTGATTCTCCAAGCACATTGAGAATTGTTAAATTGCTTACACCCATTGCAAAAGTTGCTAATATTCGATCTTTCTTTTCCGATTCTGGGTCATCCATCTTTTCTGGTGCACCAAGACCTTCAGTGTCAATTAGGACAAATGCATCAACGCCAAGTTGATCGGATAAATTTTTTTCCAAGAACAATAATCGCATGAAAAGACCTCTAGTACAACGTCCAACTGAAACAGCAAATCTACATGCAAAAAGAGCATTCAAGAGAGTTGACTTTCCTGATGATTGTAGGCCAAGTATGCTGACTACAAAAATTCTAAGTCTAGGATATGCGTTACAAATATGCCCACAAATGGCTGAGAACCAAGCTTCAGATATAGATCCAGCATCACCATCAAGTAATTCTACGGTGTGGCCACCAATCAATAGTTGAGCGTAAAGTTCTGGCAACTTCAAAACAATTTCACTGTCTGGGTCATTGATAGAAGAAATCTTGTAGATTTGTCCCAACTCGCGGAAAAAATGTTCCAAACCTAAACTCATGCTATCAACCTTTGCCCAAATTTTTGCAATTTCATCTCGAATTTTCATTTCATTTTCTTGATTCCTATCGACCAAACTGGATTTACGCAATTCTTCTCTTTTCAACACAGCCTGATTTCGAACCCCGGAAGATTCTATCATAGAAAGCCTGGATACTTCTCTTTCAAGATGTGCTAGAGCTCGTATCCTTTTGTTGAGAGGTAGTTTTAGAATGTTTATGTACAACAATATTAAATATTGCAACTCCGTATTATTTTTCCAAATTTGGAGATCATTGGGTGGTTTTCTTTGAAGCTGCATAACTTCAGATTATAAAAAAAATAAAAACGAGAAACAGTAATTGATATATAAGCTGACTTGAAATGATTTAGGATGGTTTAAAAAAAAAAAAAAAAAAAAGTCTAACAACCTTCCAGTTTAATGTGACGACAAGTTTTTTCTTTGACAAAGTCTGCCAAAAGCTGAGACTCGGCAAGTTCAATGCCTTCGGTCAATTGAAGCGATCCTCTCAATTTAATTCTAGCATTGAATGATGAAGTATCAAAATCTAAAGCTTCTTTAAACATCATGCGTACTTTTTTTAATGTTTTATCTTTCATTAAAAATTTGGTGTCGATCGTGTATTTCTTTTTGTCGGTGTTCTTTTTATTCACCCAGCCATATATGATTTTTTTGGGTCCAATTAGATCCTCGAGTTTATCTATTTGACTTGCGGTACATCCAGGCATTAAAAAAACCAAGAAACTAGAAGGAAGTTGCCTTAAAAATTTAATTTGATCTGGATAATCTAAAGCATCGCCATGTAAATTCGCAAGTAAAGCGATTTCCTTTGCCCCTTCTTTATAATAATTTTCAAAAACGTCATTCCACATACTCACCCCGCAAGTTTCTTGGGTTAACCAAGTAAACTCGATGCTTCCATTAATCATATGTGGAATCCCATATTCTGCTCTTGGTTCACAACTCGAAGAGAACATAGAATCCGAAGCCATTAATTGGTTGAGAATGACGCTTTTCCCTGGAGAGTTTGTTCCGATTCGAATGGCGACAATCAATCTGAAACGATCATTGAAAAGGTGGTTTTCAACAATCGTTCCAGGTTTCGTTTCCCACTTGATAACTGGACCAACAAGCAAAGGAAGCATCACTTTAAACATTTCTTCTTTATCTAATTCGGGTATTGTCAAAGGAAGTGCAACTGGGAATTGAGATAAGGTTCGAAAGATATCTTGAGCTACAGTGCATTCTACAGATGCAAGCAAACTAGCAAGGCAATCAAATCGAGACAATTGATTTTTCCGAACATCTTGGCCTTCGTCCATTGATTCCAGATCAGAAGATTCGGATTCCTCATCAGAAACATCATCGTCTTCCTCGACCAAAGTTTTAATATTTTCTGCTCTAAGAACATCAGCCCCCCACATTTTAACTTTCTGGCGAATATAGTGAAGAACGTAAGCAACACTTCCGTTCATTTCGTGAGCTGTCAATTTTGGAGGTGCTAAAATTTTACTGAGTTTAACATAATCGTGGGGTTCAATCAAAGGTATTTCTTCACCTAGAATCGAATGCCATTTCTCATGTATCGTTATCACTTTATTATCAATCATCGTGTAATGATGGTAAGGGAAAGTTACAAACTTGAGAGATGTATATATATATAGCTATAATCTGGATTATTATTGATCCGGTTTAAATCCAGATTCTAGGCATATGTTTTATACAAATCAGTAAGATTAAAGTTATCTATAATTATTGAACTCGTTTTCATCATGAAACATTTTCTCACCCAACCCAAAAAGGAATTTTAAATTTTAAATTTACACGCATGCATGCAATTTTAACTCTCACGATTTAAAAGAACTAATCATATTATATACAAGATTAAATGTATTTAGAATAGAAAATGAATAGAGAAAGACAGGTCATTAAAATTTAATCCATTTCAAGTCGTAGTGCAGAGTGAAGTTTTCTATGCATAAATCTCTTTTTAGTAAAGTTTATGATAATAATAGTTGACATAACACGTAATAATAATGATTCGGGAAAAATTCCATTTTTTATTTTTATTATTATTATTTCTGTACACTTTATTTTTATTTTTTTCCGTATTAATGTTTTATTTCTGTATATTTATAATATTAATATTAATATTAAATAATAAGGCACATGACTTATCCATCCATGTATGTTTATATACCATCCTACTATATTTAATTTTAGATGAATTGAATGAAGGGATCGTTCGCTTGTGTTTTATAGTGTCGGGGCGAAAAAAGACGAAACTTTTGGTGCAGATAACGGGGAAACATTAGAGCTCTGCACAAAACATATAGATATGCTTGTAACCCATCCATCACGTGGTTTTTTTTGTCCATTAAAAAAATTAAACTTTTTACAGTTGTCCAATCCACGTTGCTTGACGGAATACGCTGGATGAAAAAGATTCCATGTAAGTCTGATTTACAATCATGAGGGCAACAAGACTTAATGGTATTGGTCTTTCTGATTTCCATTAAAAGAAATCGGGTATCTTATTAGTCACTCTATGATTTTTATGTGCCGAAAATAAAAAAATTTAATGTCTTTAATTCTGTTTGTTTTTTTTATTCCAGTTCATAATCAGCCTTTTAGAGGTTCGGTTTGTCCTTTCTCTCTCTATGTAATTTTTGAATTATAAACTATCAAGCAACGCTACCAGTAATTCCAAATAAATAAATTTTCATATTGCATAATATTTTTTTTAATAACATTTGAGCTAAAGCTGAAGATCCTGTTTCCATATAATTTAAATATAAATTATAGACAGCTTCTTTTCTAATATCTGTAGGATCATTTTCTTCGAAATTTTCAACTTCGTTTTCGTCGGTTTCTAATTGTTTTTTCTTGCCCTATATATATATATCAAATATAATCGGTGAGTTTCATAGTAATCAATATTACATGTAAACACAAACGTATAAAAATATTCAAACTTTATCAATTTTTTGTTTCAAAATTTGATTTACTGATGGTAATTTAAGTGCTTTTTCATAATGTAGTATAGCTAAATGTGTTAATCCTTTAAGTCAAAATAAATTTACAATAGTCAATTAATTATTTGATTGTTTATTTATTATTAAGATAAAAAAATCATTACCTAATTGATGAAATGCATGCCCTAAATTATATTCAGCTTCTTGGTTTTTGCTTTTTAATTCATAGTATTCATATAAAAAATTGAATCCCTATTCAAGTTTGCAGAATAAAAAAAATAAAAATGAATAGAGCTTTTAACTAAAAAAAAAATTCATTGATTCAAGTTTGTAACTAGTTTTTTACTTGTAAAATTTGTAAATGTTGATTACTTGTTTTTCTCTGCATAGCATGATGCAAATATGCAAGACCCATAGAAAAACACACAAGAGGATCTTTTGGTTTGACAAGTGCTGCTTGAGCATAATACCCCTGTAATAAATTGAGAAAAAATTTTAATTTAATATATTAATAAATTCTATATACTCTATTTATTTTTATTATACTTACCAAGAGCGCCATTATAACTTCTTGAACATCCCAAAATATGTCCATAAAGTGTCAACAAACCAGCATCAGGTTTCGTTGGAGAACTGTCAGAAATGCCTGAATCCATTGCTCTTATTTGTCTTAAAAAATATTTTTGTGAATTTTGCCGCTGAAAAACATGATAATGCACCAGATCCATTATTATATGTATGTATTTTAAAATAAATGTCATTATTGGTATTTTACTACTGTTTAATATATCATATTTAATTCAAAATTTTTTTACCTTGCTAAACATGCACTATATAAATTGTATATGTTGCTATTGAACGGCTTAAAGTTACATAACCATCTTGCACTTTCACAAACCACTATATAATTTGATGTATAAAGTCCCAAGCTAATAATAATGCATATTCATAAATTTCCTGTTAATTAATTATATCTGTTCTAAAAATTGAAATTTGCAATTTAAAAAAAGAAATTTGTTTATTGATTCTTTCCCTACCTGGTGACAACACCTTGAATGTAGTCTTGTGTCATTCAATATGGTAAAAAATATTTGCCTTTGATACTAACATAATTACATCATATGCTTCTGATCCATGCCCATTTTTTGTTGCCGTAATTATAAACTAAAATGATCATTAATACATGTAAAATCCTTACTTCATCTAATTTTTTTTACATTATAAAATTAATTTATTTACCTGAATAAAAAATTCAAACCATTTTTCAAATGTTATTCCTTGAAATTCTGTCATTTCTTGTGTATTTCAGCTTCAAGTTCACCTAACTGTCCATCTTTTTAAAAAAATATAAATTAATGTACGCCGCTCATTCACTATTTATACTAACATATATATATATATATATAAGCGTAATAAATCAAACCTATATTCCATTGCAGCCTCTTCGCCATTGTGGTTTCCTGTCTATATCCACATCGTATCCTTCTTTTAATTCTTTAATTTCTTCGTAATAAAGTTTTTTCTTCCAAATTTTACATCAATCATATCCTCTAAATGGAACCATCTAGTCAAATATATAATTCATTATAAGAATATTCCTAAAATGTATTTTTTTTTTGTAATTTATTTATGAAAAAATCATTTAACCTTGTTTCTTGGAGGATAAAATGCTCTATATTTTGCCCATCTTCAATTAAAGCTCTTGCTGTTTCAAGATATTCTTTAAACGCTTCTTTATCACCACTAACTGAACATGGATACAATAAATCTAATCTATGAAAAAGAATTTGTGTTTCTTTTTCCTTTTCTAACTCTCGTTTTTTACTTTCTTCTTCTAATCTGCAAGGTCATTGGTTTTTGTCTCTCTTGATATAGAGTGTATAAGCTCCCCAGAATTTTGATTCATGGTTGTTGACGAGTACTGTTGATTTTCTTGTAAAGTCATGCTATTTGAAAGAAGACGAAGTAGATGTTTTTCTTTTTAAATGCCTTTATATAATTAAGCAATTAATTAATTTAATGATTAAATCCACCTGTATTTACCAATTCTAATGCAGTTCATTTTCTCCTAAAAATTCATAAGTCTCTGCAAGTGATATTTTAGCATCTAAATTATCTGGTGAATCTTCAATAACTATAATAATTATATGTTGAAAGAAATATATTAAAAAAAAACCTATAATTGAATGTTTATATATTTATTTGATTTTTACCGGTGGTAAAATATTCTGCAGCATTTTCAAAATTCTCTAGTTCTCTATGATATAATCCCACTCTCATCCACACATTTGGATTATTTGTCTATTGTTATTATTATTTAAAAAAATTGTAACAACTTACAAATAAAAATGTATAGATATACTGTACATGTATATGTCATGGCAGTGATGAACAATCAATTACCTCGGAATTAAGCAATATAGCTTCGTATATTGTCAATGCATCTTCAAATAACCCTTTTTCGGCATAAGTTTCAGCCACCTCATAATATAAATCAATGCATTGCTTAACATCATATAACTTGAGATAATTTAAATGTAACTAATCGGCAAAAATTTATAGCAAGCATATATTAATTAATAATTATAGAATATAAATAAACGAGAAAAACAAGTATCATCATCATTATCAATACATACTTTTCCTTCTTCCAATTCATCCATACAGATTCTATTTATACTCTTAATTTCAATGGTAATGGTGCATTTGAACTACCACTACTAAAAACTCCTTGATGTCTAGTGCTAGCTAAAATAAAAGAATTATCTTTCCGATTAGCATTTTCGTCTTCATCATATTCTCGATCATCACTGACATCGTTCTACCATGTTTCATCCTCTCTTCCTTGAAGCCATCTGACTCCACATTTAATGAACTCTATTGCACTACCGAAATCATTTATGAGCATATAGAGTTCTGCCGTAATATTAATTTCTGGATATCCAAAACTGCCTTCTGCTTCAGCATCTTCGAATATGCGTCAAGATAAAGCTCAATGGCTTTAGGAACTTTGCTTGTTTGTACATGTATTTTTGATATTTCTCTTAATATATTCATATCATGTGGCACTTTTCTAATAATCCAGTAAAACCATCAATTGCCTAAATTTAAATAGTAATATTATCAATAGTGTCATCATTAATACTTATGCAGAGAGAAAAAAAAATCAATTGAAAACATTTATTGAAAATCAATTCTATACCTTTTTGTATTCTCCAATTTCAGCATAGGGCATAGACCATCCCACATCATTAGGATCATATCTTATGGCTTTAGAGAAACAATAAATAGCACTGTGATCTCTTATATAATAAACACACACACACGCATATAGAATGTTAGAACAAAAATATTTGTTTTAAAATAATAATAACAAAAAGAAAAAAAAACTAACTTGCTTAGTGAACCTAATCTTTTTCATAATGCACCATCATGAGGTGTTGGATGGGCAGCAACCAAATACAATTGTAAGGCCTTTTCCAGACATCCAATTTCATCTTGTATTGTTCCAAGCATAAACCAAGCAGAATGAATGTTTGGATCAATTTTTATTACCTCTTGAAGCACCTCAATAGCTTTGGGATAGTCTCGATTGACATAATGCAGGTTAGCTTCTACTTTAGCACGTAAAGTTGGTGGAAGTGCATGATTTCGAGGACCTTTCTATTTAATTAATTAATTAATTATTGTTTCCTTAAAATAACAATTAATATTGAAATTCACCTTTCCCTTTTTAATTTTACCAATTCCGCTGGTAAGTCTTAAATCTTGATTAAATTCACTCCATTCTTGTTCCAAATTTTGCCATAAATGTGGAGCTACAGTTCTAGTAGTAAGGTCATTTCCAATTGCTTGTGCTTGAGATAATAATCGTCTATGATTATATATTATAATAATTATTATTATACGACAGACATAAACCACTATCATTATACCATTTAATTAATTAAATAATTTACTCAAAATTTTCGTCAGCAAGTTGATTTGTCTCATCATCTGATAAATCATTGTCATCATTGCCAAACAGACAAAGTTGCAGCAGTAAATTTAGGGATTACTTTTATGGAAGTTTCAGCTAACAAATGAACTAAATCAACATCGTCAAGAGTATTATTAAGTAGATCTAGAAAATTAGTTGGAATTACTCTTGTATTTGAAGCATTTGGATTTTCATTTTTCTCGTATGAATTATTATTTTCTTCCATTGCTTATAGATTATCAATTATGTACAAATATTATTTATGCCACGTGACCAACATTAAAAAAATTATATACAATAAAATTTAACTATTTATTTATTATTTATTTATATTTAATGTCAAGAAAAATTATTAATAACAATAATTTGTTAAATTTTGAACAATCTCAAAATCTAATTTTTCATTTAATATTAGCGGCGTCAGTTAAACCATCATAAAAAGCCTTAACCCTTGGATGAACCATCACTTTGGATTGATGGAAATTCGACACTTGTAATGAATTTGCTGAAGTTGCACGTGAAAGCGCTACATATGTTTGACCTATTTAAAAGAGTAATTTAAACAAATATAATTTTTTTTAAAAAATAAAAATAATAAATAATAAATTTATTAACCAACCTTTTTCAAATACACGGCCAAGATCAACCTTAACACGGTCTAAAGTTTGTCCTTGACTTTTATGAATACTGATAGCCCAAGCAAGTAGCAATGGTATCTAATCATATATATATTAGCATGAATATGAAAGTTTTATATTAACATTATAATAATAATTAACCTGTTTTCGACGCGCTAAAACTGTGTCACCGCTGCCTTCAATTTTCCATTCGGAAAACTCAATAACTTGTTGAAGACCATCAGTAAATCGTACAATTGGAAGCAAGTCTTTTGCGTTTAATTTTAAATTTTCTTCTTCGCCATTAAGATAAGCATCGGTCGTTAAAGTATTAATAAATCCAACAACTATACCTCTTTTTCCATTTACCAAGTCTTTTGTAAAGTTTTTTATAAGCATCACCTGAGCATTACGTTTTAAAAACAATTGTTTGGGCGCAAGGCAATTTCTTATCAAAGTCTTTAGTTGGCCTCCAGCTGGTTCCCAATCTTCAGCTTCCCAAACGTAAGATTTAAAAGGAATTTCTTTCAGTTTCGCTTCATTAGAAGCATTGACATTATCATTACGTGGATAACTATATGTATAAAATATGTGCGTTGGGAATTTAATAAAAAAAGATGATGATAATGTGATTGCCAACAAATCAGAATGTTTTTGCTTACAGTTCGGTTGGTATGATTCCATCTTTAGGATAATTTGGTACCTGTTTTAAGCGATTCAACAGATTGAGCGATTTTACAGATAAAATTCCACAACGCATCTCATTTAACATTTCAACCAATTCTGTTTGAACAAAAAAATTAATAATAAATAATAATAGTATACGACTTGTTTATAACGAATAAAGATTTTCTCACCAGGTTCTTTTTGTCGAAAAACGCGTTTTAGTTGAATTGTGTGTTTTATACATTTATTCCAAGTTTTAGCATCAAAGCAAAACTTAGCAGCGTTGTTATGACTGATTGGTGGTAATTGATAAAAGTCACCAGTAACAATGAGCTATTTATGATATGTAGAGAAGAGAAATTTTTTTATGGACATTGTTTCAAAAGATTGAATAAGTGATTAAAGGGTGAATGGATATCAACTAATTACCTGAATTCCACCAAAAGGGAAAGGATTACCTCTAACACTACGTGCAAGAGCTTCCAATTTGTCAAATAAATCACCGTCAAGCATAGACACTAATTTGAAGAGCGTGAAAATGTTGAACTTTATTTTAAGTAAATTAATAAACAAATTAAATTTTGTTTTACCTTCGTCAACAACAAGAACTTTTATTCTTCTCCATCTATCAACTAAACTTTTAAACTTGATGATTTTTCTGTGCAATTCCGTTTCGGTTGCTTGTCCGGTACCAATACCAAAAAAGGAATGAACCGTCATACCACTGATGTTTAAGGCTGCAATTCCTGTTGTAGCAGTGACTGCTACACAATCAGCTCCATGAGTATCTTTAAGAGTATCGATTATAACACGAAGTAAAACACTTTTTCCGGTTCCTTTTATTTAAAAATAATATCATTAACTATTAATATAATGTGAATTATTAAATATCTAAGTAAAATCAAATGAAGTTTTATTTGCTTTTTTACCTGCAGAACCGGTATAAAAAATACTATTATGACTGTTAACAGCTAAGTTGAGGATTTGATTCTGTTCATCAGATAACTGAACGTCGCCAGAATGTGCTATTCTACTCAAGTTTAGTTTTAAAGGTGCTTGAATGTTTTTATTTGTTTCTTTTAAAGGAACAGCAGGATATGGAGCAGCGATAGGTTTTTTTGTTTTCTGAATTTCTTTTGGCATTTTTAATTTTTGATATTATGAAGAAAATTATTAATTTGATTAATTTAAGTTACAATTATTTTTTTAAAAAAAACAAAAGGAACGCGTCAATTCTTAGATAAATGATTTTGAACGTGATTATTTTACCAATAAAAATTCTTGTCCAATTTTAGGGTCAACCCTTATCTTGAATGGTTGAAAATCAAAGCTTAACAGAGTAAGGCTTTGTTATTTGTGATCAATAAAATCAAGAAAAAATCAAGAAAAATCAGGTTTTTATTATTCTTTTTTTATTGGTAATGAATGTCAGTTATATCACACCATGTTAACATCATTTTATAGTAATAGTAATAGTAATTAACAATGCTTTAAAACAAAAGCCTTTTGAACCGACATCTTAAGGACACGAAATTAGCTATAATGTAAAGTTTTCAATATAAAAATGACAATTCAATTCCTTTTTTTTCATTTTTCTTCCAAGTGAGAAGAATTAAAGGGTGAATATCTAACTAATATTAGCATTTATGACAATAATTCGAAAAACAATACAAAAAATATTTGAAAATTTCTTGTGTTCTAATTGGACAAGCCTCTTATAGATTACACAAATAAAATTAATCAGAATTTTAATTTGGAAAAAAAAAAAGAAACTATTCAAATAAATAAAAAAAAAAAAATATTTATTACATAGCAGTAAAGAATCCTCCCAAACGTCCTTTAAATGTCCTAAAAGTCCTATAATAAAAGTCACAGTATAAAGTTTAAATAAAGAATTTTTTATCACATACGACCTTTTTTTTCTTTTAAAGTATAATAATAATAATAATAAAAGACGAAATATGGCTGAAGAAGCTGCTTCTACTAGCGAATCTGTGACAGAAAATAATACTGAGACCATTCCTGAGACCAATGTCGAAGTCGGTGAAAAGGTTTCAGAAGATGTCATTACTGAGGAGGAAAAAGTTCAAGAAGAAGCCGGTCATAAAGTTTTTGTTGGAAATTTATCTTTTCAAACTTCTGAACAACAATTAGCCGATTTTTTTGGTAAAACCGGCAAAGTGTAAGCTCATCATCTTTCTTTAATTACGTTAAAATTTTTTTTATTTTATATTTACCTTGTAAATAACAATGAATTTATTTAAAAAAAGAAACAAGATGAATAGAAATAATAATATTTTTTAAATATAATTATATATATAAAATATTTTTAAATATTTATAACATGAATATTTCTTTTGACTCTTATTATAATTTATTAGTCTTAAGGCCAATATTATTAGTCGTGGTAATCGTTCACTTGGTTATGGGTTTGTTGCACTTGAAACTAAAGAAGATGCCAACAAAGTTGTTGACGAACTTAACAGACAAGAATTAGATGGTCGTCAAATTAATGTTGAAATGGCTAAACCTAAATCTGAAAATGCATCCGGTAATAACTCTGGTAAATCATATTATAACAGTTATCGTGGTGGACGCGGTGGGAGGTTTTCATATCGCAGCAGAAGTAGAGGTCGCGGTAGAGGTCGCGGTAGAGGTAGAGGACGTGGTAGTTGGGGATATAACTCAAACTATGTATTTATAGCTCATTTTTATTTTATATATATATATACATATCTCTTTTTGATGTTTTTATTATATAAATACATATTACTAAATACCTAAATATGTAATTTTTATAGTATGGTAGTAATCGTCGTTACAATAGTCGAAGCAATGGTGACCGTGATGAACATGATGAACGTGATGAGCGTGATGAACGTGATGGACGTGATGGACGTGATGGACGTGATGAAAATGACTCTACAGCAGCTGTTACATCTGAAGATGCTCCAGCTCTAAATGGTACTCGTAAACCTCGTGGTAGTGGCTATCGTGGACGTGGACGTGGTGGACGTGGACGCGGACGTGGACGTGGTGGTTATCGTGGTGGACGCGGTGGCAGGTTTTACAATAGACGTCGTAGCAATTATTCAGCAAGTAGAAATACTGAACCATCTAAAACCGATGTATTTGTTGCCAACTTACCCTTTTCTGTTACGGATGAAAGTTTGAAAGAAATTTTCAATGCTTATGATGTTAAAAGTGCTCATGTGGTTCAATATCGTGGACAATCAAAAGGCTTTGGATTTGTTGAATTGGCTTCTGAAGAAGAACAGTCTAAAGTTATTGAAGCATCTAGAACTTTTAAATCTGACGGAAGAGAATTGGTTGTTAGAATCGCTATGAGTAATCAACATGTTCAAAATGAAGAAGACACTACTGAAAAAAACGAAGTAACTGATGCTGGTACCGAGGCTGATGCTGAGGCTGATGAGAAGAAAGAAGGTTGATTTTTATTATAAATTCATACAAATATTTATATTGTTTATTTACATTAATAAATTTACTAATAAGTTTTAATAATAATTTCAGAATAAATAATTTCCAATTCAAAGGCTCTTCTTATTTCAAAAAATATAAATATATATATCAAGTTATTTTTGTATTCTAACAGAAAATTTCTTTATTGTTTTAACATACATATTATTAAATTTTTTTTCTTTTCTGCAATTATATCTTAGTTCCTTTTTTTCCTTTTCTTTTTTTTTTATTAAATAAATTATTACTTCAATGGTAATTATAATGTTAATATATATATACACACACACATATATATATTACATTTTTATTATATTTATTTATTTATTTAGATATATATATATATTATTTATCACCACAATATCTTTGTTTTTGGTTTTTTCATGTATTTATGTACTATTTTATTTGGGCAAAAAAAAAAAGCATTATTTTCAAAAGTTTATTTTGCTCTTCTTATTCTGTTTTATTCTTCTTTATTCTTACTAAAAAAAAGTTCTTATTTCATTATTACTTATTATATGATATTATTTATAGTTTTTCTTCTTCTTTCTAGTAATGATATTTTTTAATGATCTTTTTTTTAAAAAAAAATTTTTTTGTAGTTTGGGAGCTTTTAATTTTACATTATTATTATTATTATTATTTATGTCTTAATATTTTTATTTATTTTAATAATTTTAATGATGTCAAATTTAAAAAAAATAAAATGATTTTATTTCAAAATTACACATTTAAAGCATCTAATTTGGGCTTTGTTTGTATACAGAGTATTAAAGGATTAAAGATTTAACACGCATTATGTTTTTTCGATAAGCCTTCTAGTAATTGCTTTGGATACATAATCTTGTACTTTTTAGGAATATATGGGTAATAAAAAAACTTTTTTTGCTTTCTCATTCAAACGTTCTTGACTCTATTGGATTTACTGTATATTATTTTTAGCCACTTTAAATTTGCTCCCATGCTGGTCTGGAAAAGGGGATAAATTCTACCCTGAAATTCTATCGCTAAATGAAGTTTAGAGTAGCTATAACCCCAGTGGACATCCGAGAGTTAATTTTCTGATTTTTGATGGTTCTCTTAATAATAATCATCTTTCACAAATAACAGAGATGATTTGGTTGTATGCATCACCATTGAACACGTATTCTATGTGTTGGAATTTTCCCGATGAACTAACTACTTCATCCATTTCTTGAGACAGTAGACTCTCTTCCCTTTATCTTCAATGACAACCTATGTATAAATATTAAATGTTATGAAGATATGTGACATCGACATATACGTTTGTGCAAGCCATTATATGTTTTCCTCTTTGTCCATTGGACGTTTACGTTCTAGAAATTTGATTAGCGAGCAGCACATCTATTCGTTGAAAGACTCGTCAATTTTGGACATTATAACTCAAAAACTTTACATGATAGCGATGGGACTACAATTTTTAGTTAAGGTTGACAGATCGACTTTGATCATATTTTCTTCGCGCTCGTTTATGTAGCTCCTGATAAGTTTTATTTTTAATTCTTCTATCTGCGTTAAATAATTGGTCTACCATATCAAATTATTTGTTGGTTCCTCAACTATGATGGCACCTTCAAATATTGGATAATGTATATTATGCGGAAAATTTTCTAATATTATCACATTGCATAAAAACAAAGTTCATGATATTGGATTTGCTTATTCAATAAAAGCGCAGTTATTGCCACTATTGTTTGATGCTGTTATTGAAATCGCAATATCACTATCCAAACTATTGATTCTTTTTAAAATAATATTATTTAATCTAAAAAAAAGGTTCATTTCGGTTGGATCTTCCTTTTATATTCTTTTACTTGTAGTTTTATCTCGTGCAAATTGTTGTTTTTTTGAAAATCTTCCAAACACAAATTCATCTTCTAAACCCAATCGATTTTTTCAAGAATCACTACACTAATACTAATTATAATCCTTTTCATCATTGTTATTTGTGACATCCGAAAAAATCACTCCTATTTCCACTTCGCCACATCTGTGTAGCCTTAACCCAAAGCCACGAATATTTAAGTTCCCAAAAGAAATGTGAGCTAACTAGCTTCTTCCAAGTCGTCTCATGTTTAAAAAACAATTAATGTTTATTCCACTTAAATAATTTACAGAGGACCCCGTCGCACATTACATGCGCGAAATTATGTAGACTTGATACTAAGATTTTGAAAATCTTACTATGTGATGATTAAATGGTATACATGAAAAGATTTAATACATATTAATAAGTGGTGATTGTTATATTACAAATTTAGGATTATGTGGACCAGTTGATGAAAAGTTGTCAAATAAAATCTACGGAATTATATCATATGTTGCACCCGAGCTATTTAATGGTGAAAAGAATCTGATATCTATAGTGTTGGGATGTTAATATTTGCAGGCCATTCACCATTTGATGATAGAGCTCACAATCATCATTTGATTTTTGATATACGTGCAGGCTTACGACCACCAATATTACCTGAAATGCCTGATGATTATGTGCAGATGATGCAGGGATGTTGGGATGTGGATCCATTAAAAAGGCCAACTAGTAGATAACTATAATTTTGCTTATAATAAAAATAACGAAATAAAAATAACAATCATTAAAAATAAAAGTTTGAAAAATAATAGTTAGTAACTTAGTAAAAAAATTTATAATTATGGTAGCGGTACACAAATCACATACTGTACATACTTTAAAAGTTATACAAATTCATTATTGCGAAAAATTGTTTGTTACACGCTCCGCAAAGAAAAAAAGGACTATGAATTGGCGTTATTCTTAAACCCCCATTTTCTCCATTAAACCAAAACATTTATTTTATATAATGTCATATATTGACTTATTATCATCAGAAAGAGAGGATTTTGTATTTAAAATTCATAATGAAATGTATGATAATGCTCTGGTTAATTCTGATATACAGTAGAAAATGAAAAAGATTATTTTTTTTCATTAGTCCAAAAAAAAACAAGGAGCTTCCTGAAAATGAAAAAAAATTTTGTAAAAAAAAGTTTATTTATGAGTCTGAATTAAGAAATGCAAAAAATAAAGAGGGAAAACCAAGAATGTGGCAAGTGTAAATTGACAAGATACTCTGATTATGATAGATTCTGTGAAGGTTGTATTAGTTTACAATTACAGAGTCTCTTCATCACTTGGACATCTGGAGATAACATAATTGATAACTTTATTCAACAATGCCAAATGAAGTCATCTCTGCCAAAATATATTTTAGAATGGGTACCTTTTGAGCAATTTGAAAATATAACAAAGTTGACAGAAGGTGGATTTAGTTCAATTTATAAAGCTATATGGACAAGAAGTCATATAATTGATTATGATGAAAATAAAAAGGAGTTTAGTTATTTAAGAAGACAATATGTGGTATTAAAAAATTTAAATAATTCAAGTAATCCAGGGAAAACATTCTTTGATGAGGTTGATGGTTGTCATTTAAAACAAAAATAAACAATACTGTATTATGATACTAATTGATTTCATATTTATTTCAGGCAATGAATTGTTGCAAACTTAAAGCAACACTGATTGTTAATTGCTATGGTAAATTAAATTCCCAGATAATGGAAATTATGCAATAATTTTAAATTATGTACCATAATGAAATTTAAGAGATTATTTACAAAAAAATCATTTAAATTTAACATTAAAAGACAGAATTAGAATCTTTGATTATTTATGTGATGCATTATATTGTATACATGAAAAAGATTTAATCCATTGTGATTTACATAGTGGTAATCTATTAATAGGTAAAGGAGGTGGTTGTTGTATTCCAGATTTAGGACTATATGGAACAGTTGATGAAAAGTCATCAAATAAAGTTTATGGAATTGTATCATATGTTGCACCTGAGCTACTTAGAGGTGAAAAGAATACAAAAGAATCTGATATCTATAGTGTTGGGATGTTAATGTGGGAAATATTTGCAGGTTGTCCACCATTTGATGATAGAGCTCATAACCATTGTCTAATTTTTGATATATGTGAAGGTTTACAACCACCAATATTACCTGAAATGCCTGATGATTATGTGCAAATAATGCAGAGGTGTTGGGATGTGGATCAATCAAAAAGACTAACTAGTAGAGAGCTTTTTGACTTTGCTTATAATAAACATAAGGAAATTCTTGATATTGATGATAATAATAGCAATAATACTACTAGTGGTAGTAGTGTTTTGCAACAAGTACACAAATCACATCCAGATGCATATCATACAAGTAGAATCTTAGATGAAGAGATTTCTAAATATAAAAGCTTAAAAAGTTATACAAGTAATGAAAATAATCTTGGTTTAACTCTTTTCTCCTAAATGATGATGATAAAGACAAATAAAAATTTCATTATTAATCAATTGGAATTACTATCAATTACTATACAATGTTTTTTAATTAATGATAAAAAAAATTATTAGATAACATTATTAGAAAGAGAAAACTAGTTTCAAAAGATTACCTGAGTTTGCCTGTCTGTGAACTTGTTTCAATAGAATCATATGATGTAAACAATTTTCCCATGAGTCTGCTTTAAAGCAATATTTTGCTTTTCTTGTTGTGACGACTGGTGGTAATTGGCAAAAGTCTCCTGATAAAATAAGCTAAAGGTTCAAAAAGTATATATAACATTAACACAATTTGGTCTGTCAAGAAAAAGAGAATTTATAAGATTATCAATGAAAATTTACTTGTATTTCACCAAATGGCATATTATTTTTTCTAATACAGTTCACTCTCTCTATAATGAACCCTCTGTCTCTATATGTAATTTCTCTGCTTTTGGTCGTTATAGAGAGAGAAATTAATTATAAAAAATTGAAATGGGGACAAAAGGGAAGTTTGTTATAGAGAAATTTTACTTAGTGGTCATTATAGAGAGGGTCGTTATAGAGAGAGTAGACTGTAATTCTTGCAATTTTCTCTAACTTGTCAAACAACTCACCATCTAACATTGATACTTAGAAGCAACATGTTATATTAATATTTTACCAATACTAAAAAAAAATTCATGAAGATTAAATGATAATCTTACATTCATCTATAATTAATATCTTTACATCAGTCCATCTTTTAATTGCATAATATGAATTTTCAATTCTTTTTAATAAATCTTTAGCAGAAAAATCATTTGATGCTACTAAACCTAAAAATGAGTGCAAAGTTATTCCATCAATGTTTGTCACAGCTATTCCAGTTGTTGCAGTGATACCAACTTTTGTATTATCTGATGTTTTTTTTAGTTTGTATATGATTTTTTTTAATAAAAAACTTTTACCAGTGCCTACAAAATATGTTAATTTTTAAATTATTCAATACTAATAACAAAAAAAAATATATAAAACAATCATTAATGGCAACATTACCACCAGCACCAGTAAAAAATACATTAAGGCCTTTTTTTACAACTTTTTAAAAAACCATTTTCTGTTCACAAATTAATTCCTGTAGCTAGGGATTGAATTACATCAAAAATTCAGATTCATTAAAATAGTCACTTTTGCTCATATGAAGAGGAATATAATTTACTTACTTTACTTTTGTTGTAATTAATTTTTTTGAAATTGTTACTAAAAAACAATAATGGTCAATCACCATTTCTTTTTAAATAACTAGAGTGAAATCAAGTTGAGTTGCGGTGACAACAACCACCACCATTCTTATGTTAAACACTTATTTGCTTTGTTTTGATTCAAATTCTAGTTTTCTCTTTAAATTATTTTTTTGATTTGGCATCTTAAATTATTTTTTAAAAAAGTAAAATAAAAGTTGATTATTTGATCGACAAATGATTATTTATGGAAATGTTATATTTGTTCCAAGTTTAGCGAGTCACGTGACAAGAGTTTTGCCTACTTTGGGCACTTTGGGCAAATTTGTCCTAAGAGTTCAAAATTTCAAGTTAGTTTCTTATTTATGTCACATGGTAAAATGTTCACTTTGTCTGATTGAGATCCAAAATATGCTGAAGGTCATTACAGGAGTTGCAAGCAAGAAAGAAAGTGTTAGGAAAGGTTCCTAACACACAGAGAGAGAGAGAGTAAAAATGGCTTTAACTGAAAATCATCTTGGGTAATTGGTGGAAAAATAGTTATATTATTAGTGATTGGAATAGTTGTTTACTTTTTGGTGAGAAAAAATAAAGAAATGGGCAATAATTTTACATAAAGTAGTAAGATTGGTAAAAACGAATTTAGTTACAATTAAAGATGTTAGCCAAAATTGCTTCTCTTAGTAAATGATTGTTGCCAAATCCAAAATGCCGAAATAGTTTTTCATAGTTGCCAAAATTAACTTTATTAATTGCCGAAGTTATATTCAAAATTATTTGAACACTTTAGCTCAATAACCAAAATTCTGGGTAGTTTTTTTATGTCCATTGTTATGAAAAATATTATAAATTCGAAATTGCCTGCCAAAATTGTTTTTTTCAAAAACTATTTTTGCTAACATCTTTAGTTACAATTACTTTTTTTAAAATTATTCACTACCCAAAAGTGCTAGGTAGTTCAAAATTTGCATACAGGTTCGATGAGAACTAAGCCATAGAATAATATAAATTATTATTAATATTATTATTCCAGGTTTTGTATAATTATTAAGAAATGGTGTTTGGATACTTTTTTTTTTCAGGGAGTGGTTATATATTAGCACATGTCAATAATATATAACACTGTGAAAAAAATTCTTATAATTGTAGTTTTATTTTCAATGAATGCACAGTTAAAAAAAGATACTACATTATTGTTATGGCTAGAAGTAGTAAATAAATATCCTCATTTTGCAATATTAAATTTGTATCACATTGTAGAATTATCATCAAGAGTTAAAAGTATTTGTACACTTCTTAGCCACTGGTGAACTGTGGTAAACTTAACCTTAATTATACCATGTTCACTGGCCATCATATTAATTACCTTCTTCTGATTGCGAAGATTTTTCTAAGCAAACAATACATGTGTAAATATTTTTCTGTTACAACTATTGTGGCACTTATAAATATTATAGATACTTACCATAAAGTATGCAATCAGCTCAAACACATTCATGTACTCTACCTAGGGTTTGTATTCATGGATACTGTAAGTAGGTCACACAGGGTTACAAAACATTAAAATCAAGTGCTTTTAAGGGTTTTAATAGTGTGTAACCCCTTAATGGTATTCATGGTATCCGTGAATACAAACCCTAACTCTCCACAGAATTCCATGAAAATGGCCATTGTGCATTTCACACTTCCACAGCTTTAAAGCCAGATTTGTGTACTGAAATTTTGATTAAAACAATACAGTCAACTGCAAAGAAATAAACTGTATTAGTAACATGATAGATAAATCCTTATACCTCCAAAGTTATTTAAACATACCTATTATTTGCATTGTATAAAATTTAAGTTTTTTGGTTGTTTCAAGGGATGCATCAAGATATTGTTGTAATGTGTCTTGAAGCCTTCCAGCAATGTCTTGGTATCTCCCAGTGTACAAGGACGATCCTGCTTCATTGGTTTTCCAGATACCTCAATTGTCACAAACTCTCTATGATTCTCCTTGACAATAGCTAATGCATCCACTTTGTAAGTAGGGTTTTTATTCATGAATATCATGAATATCATTAAGGGGGTTGCACCATATTAAAACAGCACAAAATCCCTTAAAAACATAAGTTGATCACTTGATTTTAATAGTGTGTGACCCGTTATGATATTCATGAATACAAACCCTATTTGTAAGTCATTATTTTTCTGTCCAGATCTTTAACAAATTGCAATGCCTTCATCATCATCATATTTTTCTCCACCCTAGATAAATTCGGAAATAATAAATATAACAAGAAAAGAAAAATTTCAATCTACATGAAGATCAGGCATACCAGTTAAACATTACCAGATCAAATACATATTCAATATATTTGAATGGAAGAGAAATCTGTTCTAGTAGAAATTTTCTTTCGGATCCATGCCTTTCAATGGTGTAATTTGTTGCATACTTTGACATCATCTCTTTTGTTAAGATCAGTTTGTGTGGTGAGTTTGCTGAAAATGAGACATGTGGGCCTTTCCCTAATGGCATTTCTTCTGGCACATCAGATTTAATTGTCTTTCTCTTCAAGTCAATATGTTCACTCTCATGCTTATTTGAAGCAATGACATCCTCTAGTTTCCCCAAGACATCATGATTTAACATGCTTGCATAACTTTGATTCTTCTGTGTTGCTTGGAGTAGTCCATATAACTTATTTTGCAGTAGATAATTTGTATGTAAGCTCTATTATAAAATGATAATAACATTTCTTATGCATACCTGAAGATCTATTAGCCTTTTCTCTTTTAATTCAACTTCAACAGACATCCACATTTTGTCTAAAGCTCCTCCTTTTCGATGTGCAATTGTTGGTTTGATCATAGGTAATTACAAATAAGAAAGTGTTACAACCAGCCATGATGATCAAACAGATCATAAGCAGTTCATCATCAGAATTCCCATGTAGTCACAGTTATTAATACAATTAGAGTACTCTTATTGCTAAAAGCTAGCCATCCACAACAATCAAACAGATCATAAACAGTATATCAGCAGAATTCCCACATAGTTGTAGAGAGCCAAACCAACTAACAGTTGATATGGCCACAACCTAAGAAAACTCCTATCCAGTTGTAACATCACATTTGTACAAGGAAAATCTATGCTTGTCTTAGCTTTTTCCTGAAGACTTAATGCCTTCCTTATCATATCAGCATTGGCTGATGTGTTCACAATATTTTGCAAATTCCTGATGAGTTTGTCTGCAGCCTTCATGTAATTAAGATTCTCTGGCCTATCTTTGTTTTTTTCTATAAAAAAATGATGTAACTTGACAATATCCCACTCCATAGGGTTCTTCAAATCAAAGTATGTTTGCTTGTCAGTCATTTGATTATTTTCCTGTAGGTCATGCAAAATAAAGGTGAATATCTCCATTATTATCTACAAAGTCACCATACACAATAGTTTACTGAGTTCCTGTGACAATGAAAGGGTTGTTTTCACTATCTTCCATTGGTACCTCCATTTTAAAAGTAAATAGTTTATTTGAAAAAGTTGTTTTCTTTTTTTTTTTTTTTGTGACTCATTGAATTGTGATTTATGACAAAGTTACACGAATGTCAACTGATAAACTAAAAAAGATCTACAATTTATATGAGTATTTTAAAGTGGCATGCTTTTCTGATCAAAATTTAGTTTGAATCTTTATTAGTAACAAAAATAATTTCAAATTCAACATTCTTAAAAAAAAAAAATAATAAATTTATTACTATTGTAATTATTTATTCTTTTAAACTTTTATTTCAATTATTTAAAATGACTAGAATATAGGCAGGAAAAACTTTGATCCTGTAATGATCCAACATTGATATTTTTTTCTTGTGTTGTGTAACATTAAATTTAATGTTAATTATTTATTATTTGGTTTCACATCATTTAACTCATTCATTTAATTTATTACATACTAATCATCTGGATAATTGATAAGTATATTATTATTTATATTTATCAATTTATGTGTATATAAAAAGGAAAAGGACATCGATCTAATAATAAAGTTAACTTTCAAACTTTGTAATTTTTACAACAATTAAATTACTTATTCATTTAAGTAACTCTTTGAATGTTTTGAACATTTGCAGTAACAATGGGATTATTTTCCTTTTAAAGATTTTTGCTTTTTATTATGTAACAGCGCATCATCATGATGCTTTCTTCTTCAACATTTATTTTTTGTCTTTCTTCTTGGTAAATTTCATAGGTAATCCTTTCTTTACTTAGGTAAGCTTCCAGCATTTGAGTATCATTTATTTTGAAAATGTAAGGAGCAATTTTTTCACCTTGTTCCTTCTTCAAAATACTTCTGATGGTACTATAATTCTTGGATTCCATAATAGATCTGATGTAAATTAATTTCATATTAATTATTTTTTATATAGGGATAATTTCTATATATTACTAATACTAAAGTAAAAGGTATTATTATATAAAACTGCCAACTAAATTTTGATCCCTGAAATTCTTGATAATACCAATGTTCACTTTGTCTGGTTTTGTTGCACCATGCCCCATATAATATTGATAACTATTAGATTTTTACACCATTGTGCAATTGATTGAAATAGCTTTCCCAAAAATTCACTATTATTTATATTACCATCAATATATAGATATTTAAGAGTTTTTCTATTGATGTTAATAGAATCAGGCAAGTCTGATAGAGATTGTTGCCTATTAATACATATGTACACAGATTCAATATTTGGTGATGAAATATTTTTCAACCATTCTATTCCAATATCATATATTAATGTAAAAGTCTTCAAATTGTTAAATGCTGTTAATAATATACGATCCATATTATTTAATCCATCACTTGAGTAATAAATTATTAATTGTGAATGTGCAAGAATTGCTTTTTTGAAATTATTTGATAAAGGATGATTAAAGATAAATGAATGGTTAATTGTTTTATTTGATTCTGTGCTTTGATTAGTTGAGTCAGACTATCTTCAAGTTTATTGTTGAATGTACCATATATTCCTAATTATTGGATACATTTGCAAATATTTGCTAATTTATCAATAAATTCATTATTAACATTATTATGACAAACTAATTTATTAAGATCCTGAAAATTATTATCAAATCTATGATAATTGTTTACTAGACAAGGAGCTATATTGAAAGTATTAATCTCTTTAATAACTGCTGAATGATTTAAAATAAAATTTACTAACACTAATCTATTTTGTAAAATATTAATATATAATTTGGGAGTCCTTGCCACCAATTGAAAGCTATTATAACAGAAACTAAATCTAGTACAAAATCTAGCATAATTATATAATGGTGATTTATCCAATAACTTAAAAGTCAATTCAATATTATTTCTTATTAAGAAATCCTTATCCTCTTCTAATAAACAATTAATTATTATTTTGGTGCTGTTTTTAGAATAAAATGGAACCCTCCATAAAATTGGAATATTAATATTGTGCCACTGTTTATTGACAAGAACACAAGAATATAATGTTTTGTAATCATCATCATTGTATCTAAATACTTCAGTTAAAAGCTCAAGTGGAAAAGTCATTGTAAGAAAAAATTTTAATTTTTTATTTGTTACACAATAAAATGATTTATTATTTTCCCAACAATTAATATTAAAATCAAATAAAAATAATAACCATTTATATAATTTAGTTTAAAAATCCCAAATCTTGATCAATCCATTAATTTCTGACAATCATTAAATTTTATTGTAAAAGGTTTAGGTCCTCTCCAATTTTTTGTAAAATTATCAAAAGAATTGACATTAATAGTAGAAAACTTACAAGGAAATATTATTGACTTTAATTTTGTTGTTAATGCTTGATTTAGTGCAGAAAGTATTTTATCACTATCAAATGTATCCAAAAAAACAAATTCAATGCTTTTTAATTTAATACAATTATTGATTACTTCTGCTAACTCCTGGCTTACTTCATCATTATATAATATTGATAAGTCTACTAGATTTTTACACCATTGTGCAATTGATTGAAATAGCTTTCCCAAAAATTCAATATCAATGGGATCACCATCAATATATAGGTATTTAAGAGTTTTTCCATTGATGTTAATAAAATCAGACAAGTCTGATAGAGATAATTCTACATAAATACTTATGTCTATGGATTCAATATTTGGTAGTGAAATATTTTTCAACCATTCTATTCTGTCATCAAATATTAATGTAAAAGTCTTCAAATTGTTAAATGCTGTTAATAATATATGATCCATATTACTTAATCCATTACTTGAATAATAAATTATTGATTGTGAATGTGCAAGAATTGCTTTTTTGAAATTATCTGATAAAGGTTGATATAAGTATAAATGAATGGTTAATTGTTTTATTTGATTCTGTGCTTTGATTAGTTGAGTCAGACTATCTTCAAGTTTATTGTTGAATGTACCATATATTCCTAATTATTGGATACATTTGCAAATATTTGCTAATTTATCAATAAATTCATTATTAACATTATTATGACAAACTAATTTATTAAGATCCTGAAAATTATTATCAAATCTATGATAATTGTTTACTAGACAAGGAGCTATATTGAAAGTATTAATCTCTTTAATAACTGCTGAATGATTTAAAATAAAATTTACTAACACTAATCTATTTTGTAAAATATTAATATATAATTTGGGAGTCCTTGCCACCAATTGAAAGCTATTATAACAGAAACTAAATCTAGTACAAAATCTAGCATAATTATATAATGGTGATTTATCCAATAACTTAAAAGTCAATTCAATATTATTTCTTATTAAGAAATCCTTATCCTCTTCTAATAAACAATTAATTATTATTTTGGTGCTGTTTTTAGAATAAAATGGAACCCTCCATAAAATTGGAATATTAATATTGTGCCACTGTTTATTGACAAGAACACAAGAATATAATGTTTTGTAATCATCATCATTGTATCTAAATACTTCAGTTAAAAGCTCAAGTGGCAAAGCCATTGTAAGAAAAAAATTTAATTTTTTATTTGTTACACAATAAAATGATTTATTATTTTCCCAACCAATTAATACTGTGAGATCGAATTATTTTAAAATGTGATGAATGCTTCTTGGTATTTGTAAACCTCAATACTTGATTTATATTAATGTTTGATTTATACAGCTGTGACCGAGTGCTTCTTGGTAGTTTTACTCTCAATTGCTATTGCTTCTCTGATGTGTATGATTTTAATAGCGTTTGGTCTATTAAACTGTGTGGGAGCGATTTTACTTCCCCGTCCGGTAATGTTTTCTCAGCAGTTCTTTGTTATCTGCCTGAGCCGGAACGTTCCCAATATATTTACTTTCCTAAATATCCGTCTTGGTTCTTTAGGCTTTCTTATTACTTAGCCGCGATCGAGTTGGGCTTTGTTTGTTGTATTTTAGCTCAATGTCTGGACTGATCGCATCTAGCCAGGGGTTGCTCCTCTTAGGCGTTGGTCTAAGCTAAATAAAACTAAAAAAAATAAAATTAAAAGAAATATATACAACCATACTTATCAAATGTAAGATAGTAAAATAATAATAATATAGTGTCGAATATAAAATGAGAGAATATGGTTAAGCACGGAATTCATTGTTAGAGATAGATTTATTATCATTACGAAAATATAATATTCGAAGACAACAAGGACAAGGACAAGGATAAGGCTAAAGACATGGTCAAGGTTAAGGACAGTGTTATTTATTATGATGATATAGATGATGGTACATGATGAAGTGAAGAAAATTACAACGTTATTTATACATGTTAAAGGTCCTATCATCTAGTTCTCCGATTTTTTTGAAATCCTAATTTATTCTAATTAAATGTATTA